ACGTAACGTTTTTTACATAAATTTTACATAAGCTATACATAATATATACATAAATAACTACTAAAAATAATAATAATATTTACGTTTCACAAAAATGATATATAGTTTAAGTTCACTTTCAAGTCTTTCCAAGCTTTAAAAATTGCAAAATATAATACTCAATATAGTATTCTATCACTTCTATAAAAAAAAAAAATGTTAACTATATTTGCCTCAAATCGTGTAAATAATTTCTGACTGTAAAGACGAATAAAAATTTCACAGAAAAAAAATATAAATTGTTTATTTTTTTCTTCGGAGGGTGGGTGGGTGGTCTAGTTAATAACTAATTATTTAAAGGAATTTTAGGAAATGTACAGTATTTTCATAAAAGAGCAATATACTAAGTTATTAGACTTGATTGGACTGATAAACGTTATTATAATATTATAATTAATAAGTTTATTAAATATTTTACCTTATACATGTGTAGTAGTGTTATATATTATTTTTCTATGTATGCATTAAAATACACAAACAGTAATTAAAGCATATCTAAATTTTTTGAACACATGGTTTATATACTATCTCATATGAGTATATATTATAAATATTGCTCATTTTGATAGTACCTATAGAAATATTATATTGATGAAAACAAACGTCATAACTACAGTGATGTATTACTAAAATAAATCATTGGTATACACGTTATTTCATGTAGTAAATATCATATGGCAGGAACCAAAAAAACTCACTCATGAATTACACATCCTTATTTATGACTGTTTGATAACAAAAACTTGTTGTTAAATGATAACAAATTTGAATTTTTCATTAAAAAAATATAGTAATAATAAATCTAATACCGAATCACATCATAAATATAACCACAAGTTAGGTTAGCCAAGATAATATATAGTTATTTGTCAAATTACAAGCCATACGCTAGATACGGCCGTATACCCACGTATCATCAATTTATCGTAAGCTATACGCCATGGATAAAATTAGCATATTAGGTATACGCCGTATACCCCTGTATACTCTCCAATACACCACTGCATAACTAGCTTAAAAATGTTTGTCTAGAAATGAATTCAAACAATGTTTTGATATCCAGACAATAATTATATGATATAATGAAAAGCTCTAGATGTGAAACTATTGATGAAAAATTTAAAAATAGTAAGAGACCAAATTCATCAAACAACTTTACGTAAATTACACACAAACACCATCTACGTCTTTTGGGTTGAAATTTACGCACGTGCACCCTCGTCGTTTTCACATTTTCTCCTTCTTGCCGGAAACATTTAGACTGTAGAAAATTAATGAAGTGTACGTCATTTGATCGTCAAACGTGCGGCTGATTTAACCGCTCCCCATCTTCAGGCGATTTGCCATTCCCCCCCCCCCATGTAAATTATTATCGTTATCATCGTCATCATCATCATTTTCATTGTATAATAATAATAATTCTCGTTTAAATGTAAAACATCGTGCGCAGAACCGCAAAAACTGAATTGTAAAAAGTTTTTTAACAACCGTTTTATTACTTTCACCCATTTCTCGGCCGATTGCCTTATCATTTTTACAATTATTATGTTATGTACGCCATGCACACACAAAACCGTTGACACTTCACGTACATGCAAATGGACCAACACTCCACATTAAGAAAACGATTGGGGCGAAAATTTTTCATTAATTTAATTATTAAATACTAAAATCAATGGTATCAATAACCTAATACATTAATAATAACTTTTGGTTTCTCTTTAAGCTGGCTTATCTCTCTTCCAAACTTACATATTATGCATTTACTTAATTTATTAATATTTAAAGATCTTTTTCGTCCTACTAATATTGATTTTCATATAAACATATGAATTTAATAATTTCAAACTTTTTATTGTTTATACATATTTACATTATCTTGTTTTTGAGATAATGAATCAATTTTTTGAAGATTGCGACATTTGTTATAGGCTCGTAATCAAATTTTTGACAAACGTGTGGCAGTGTTTAACTCGCTATATATCGTTATACGTTTCTGTCAATCTAAGCTGAAGATAATTTTAATACTTATTAACTTCTGGGGTTCGATATTCAATTTTACTCAGAAAAGATACTAAAATATGAATATTATTCAAAAATATGTTATTAAAAGTAAATATTACCTTCAGAAAAGAAAACAACTTAAAAACTATAATACGATTAAAATAAAGAAGGATAAAACTGATTTGGAAAAATTTGAACCAGTAAGACGAATCGGATATCTTGAAATAGAATTTTAATACATTTTTAATTCCATCTCTAAAGTAATCAGGTGGATATATTTAATCAATCACCTTATAAAGCTGGGTTACGTCACTTTTTTTTTTCGGTGCACAATATATATTTAATAACATAAGTTATTGTTAAGTTGGAGGCAAAACGACGTCATTGTTATTGCGTTTCAATTGAACAGAAGATGTGACAGGAGTAATGAATATTTGTGTTAACCGCGAGACGTGTGGCGTGTACGCACCTTACGGTTGTCACCGGTTGCTGCGTGAAAATGAAGCCAACGCGTAGGTCAGGGCTGTTAGGAGGGTACGGTCGTATATAAAAGTTACACTCAGTATAAAAATACACGAGATAATTCAACGATGATATCATATAATTACCCGTTATCGTTTGGGCAGACAGCGGGATAAGAAAATGTGCGTAAAACTCGGTCCCGAAATCACTTCTGTTATTTTTAAGTTGTTTCTTTACGGTAGACATTATCATGGTTGAAGTATACAGGAAAAATGTTCAAATAGGTTTTGGTTTTAAACCGAAATCTATTTGTGGCCTATGGTAAATAATCTCTCGTATTATCCATTTTTTATCATCAACAAAATGTGCTCTAGCTTAACGAATCCAATAACCGGAAATAAACATTTTTGTTTCAGTATAAAAATCCACTTATTGTTCCCCGTTTCATTGTCGACAAAAAATGTACACAATAAACAAATTATACAGGAATTTTATAAAAATTGTATAGTTGTATACCTAAAATTATTCATTTTGTAATAAATAATAAAAAATAAAATTAATTTTAAAAATGATTAATTGGTTAATACTCGTAAATTAATACATAAATAAATAAAAGCTTAGTCTGGATTATTTTTATATTTTTGATGTATGACCAGTTTCATCAAAATGTATCATCAGGTATGTACAATAAATTTTGTAAGCTAAGTTAAGCTAAGCTTTTATTTATTTAATTATTTATTTATATATTACTTGTTTTTTATTTTTATACTGAGAATTATGAGTAAACCAAATAATATATTTGATTTTAAATAATATACGCTACACTACATTACCACTTGACGTTTAGTTTTAAGTTAATAAGTAGTAATACTAAATAACATATTCATACTCGTGTGTAAATTAGCAACAAAACACACTAAATACTACTTATAAAAAAAAATAAATAAATTAGAACTTTGACCAATTTAGTTAGCTATTGGTATATTCATATGCAGTACATGACATTGGAATTATGATTATTTTGAAACAAATTAAAATAAAATTTGTTAGTATATTAAAACTGTCAATTACATTGCACTGCATATGCATAACATTCGTATACGTTTTGCCAACCAAAAAAATAACGATTACGGAATCCTTAATAATATTTCATATGATAACACGAGAGCCGTATACCTATAGCATAGAAGTCTGTGATACATATACGTGTCATCACCATTCGTTGAGCAGGAAAATACCATCCTTTGTTCATCACGAGTGGTCCATTACCATCTTACCCGGTACCCGCGAGCGCGTTATGACGATTCGTGTGCGTTTTTTTTTCGCTCAAGGTAAAAGTTTTGTGTTGTCAACAGTGGATACCAACGATCCCGCAGCATGCACTCTTTGGATTTGTTTCGGGTAAACACAACTATAGATATCATTATACTTTGACCGTACCTAACGCCTTTTCATTTATTACTCAGTGTAAGATTGTCCGTGCACGTGTACATGGTACGTACTCTTCGTGTAAGTTCGTTAATCGAAGTGTTATATTGATTTATATCAAGGACAGCCAAACGGTCGATAGCGGAAATTTTAAAGTCGATCATGTTAGAATTTGTTTTTAAGGACATGAACACGAAAATTAATCGAAGTTGTAGTGAACAAATTGCAGATAAGTTAAATGCAAGTTTGTTTCTTAAAAAAATGTTCTATGAAAGTCAATACTCAAAGGTGAAGTATATTTTTAGTAGATCGTAACCAAAAAAAATGTAGCCACCCCTGATTTATATTATACGTTGTGATGCCTAGAATATATTATATGTATATAATTGCGTTTTTATAATTATAATTTTTTTTTCATCTCTTCGAAAAATAAGTCGGGGTTTTTAAACAGTTTTTGAAAATTTTTTTGCCAAAACTTATCAAATGCTAAAATCAATCGGATTTTTTATATCGATTTCCTTGATGTAATCATATCATTTTGTCCACGGTTTCAACGACCGATGCGATGTCCAGTAAAACGAGTAATGCATTAGTTTGACCCAGACGATGCGCATTTTAAATTATTTTGTCGACGGAATGCCGAACAAACGATGATAATTTTAAAAGTAAGCAATGACGACAGCACCGATTCCCAATGCCACGTACTAACACGATATAGGTGCATCGTTAATGAACAGTAGTGTCTCGTTCGTTGCGATGCGCGGCGACGGGAGCGAGAGAGCTTCGGCAATATCCATGCGAAACGATCTTCCGTCTGGTTTTTGACTTTGATCATCCGATCGCTAGATCATCAGTGGCGGACTCGCGCTCACGAAACTTCGAACGGCGTAGGAGGGGGAGGGATCGACAGAAGATACGCGTGGCAGAGCGGTCCGAAGGAATTTTTAAGCAGCCGATAATTGGTGAGCGAGCCGCGCAGGCGCTAACTCTCCGGGGCCGCCGCCGCCGACTACGGCGACGCTCCGCGGCATCGCCGTCGCCACCGCCGCCGCCGCCACCGCCGCAACCAGCACCGCTACCACGGTCGCGCGACGGGCCAGCAGCTTGCCGGCGTCCGTCCCGAGTTTCCGTTGTGCGTCGTGTGAATCGCGTTCGCGACCGTTTATCGCCCCGTCGCCGTGTATGTGCGTTGCCGTTACCGTGTACGTTGAATCAACCGCGGACCAACAACCGTGCGATCCGCACACCGGTGCGTTCGCGGTGCTGAGCGGACGCGTTCCGATAGTTGCGCACCACTACCGCCGATAACCGTGTGCGCGTTCCTAGTGGATATCATTTTCTGTGTCGTAACCGAATTGAAAACCGGACTGTTTGCGTGCACCCCGAGAAGAGCGTCGCCGGACCGCGACCGGTCTCAGCCGACAATACGCGTCGCGTTGCGTTACCACGAGTGCCGATATTCCGCGTTCGGGCAGTGCGACCACGAGTCACGCAGTGCGCCGGAAAATAATGCGTGTCCGTCCGCGACGTCGCCGCTGACCACTGCCGTGTCGTCCGCAGACAACCCGCGCCAAGATCCGTCGTGTCCGCTTCGTCTTGGCGGTCGTCTTTTTTTCCCGTAACACCCCGCCCCCGCCGTCAACGCTCGTGCGATTGTGCGAACGCGTGTGGTCTCCGCTGGGTAGAGGATTACCGAGCTGAAGCCGTTAGCCATAGGAGGCGAGAAACCGTTCCGGTAAGCAAGCTTCTTTGTTACGATGACCATTCATAACCGTGCGGGAACAATATTGGTTCCGCGTCGGTTAGACCCCCCCACTTCAAGGTGCCCTCACGAGACCTGGTTGGCACCGGGTGGATGGTTGACGGTTCCCGATCAAACGTGATTTCGGGTGACATTACGACCGTGGTAGATGTCATCACGGTCCGTGTGGAACGCGAGCAGTGCGTGTGACGGATAACCCTCGAACATTTTGACGTGTCCGACAACTGAGAGAGTTCAACCGTCCCGATAAATGTTTTTGCGTAATACGTGTATATTTATATTTTTTATCTTGTGTTCGTACGCCGCAAGTGTCACGACGTGACGTTCACTCGTGTCGTTCTCCGACGCACACGAGGAATAGCCGTGTACCGATACCTATGTGTATCAAGGGCTTAGACAACCTCCCCCAATAATAATGAGATATTATTCAACAAAATCCCACAACAATTTAGTTTTCTTATATATTGTTTTGTTCTTCTGAACGTATTTAATTTTTAATATAATTTTTTTCCTGCGAGGATGGAACTTGCCTCAGTGCCCTCCCCCTCGATCCATTCACAACGAGTATCGATGCAAATGCATATTTTATCGCCATGTACTTAATCACGTTATTGTTTCGTTGCATTACGCGCGTATGTGTTTGAGTGGGTCAAACAAATTTCGATTGATATTCAAGTGTTATCTAAATGTGTCGAAAAAGTCGTGTCGCGGAATTGCGCGAAGCATCCAGTTTTATTGTTTTTAATTTATTTTGCGTAAAGTTAAGTGACACATATAACCGTTTACACAATTTATAAGATAATTACTACTATCGTCACGCAGTGGTGGGTACATAAAAATGAAAATTTAATTGACGAAATTGCGTCGAATATACGCTTCATCTGGATAGTTATTATCATATTAAACGATATTAAATACTAACATATATCACACGTACACATACACACGCAGAACCCTTGTCAAGTTAATCATTAATAAATATTATGGCGTTATAGGGATTATAAATGATAAGTTAAATAATTTAGTTCAGTTACAAAATATTACTTGAGAATCGACGTGAAATAAGCCTAAAACATCAAACTTGTAATTTATACTCGTACTTTGTTATCTAAATCATCTACTTCTACATAGATTGTGAAGCTAATATTGCTATGAAGCAATCAATTTGTTAATACCAACATGATTGTCATATTAAGTGTAAACATTAGTGAATATTTATTCAAATGAATACGTATGTCAAATTGTTTAACAATAGCAGGAGGTTTATATATCAATACGTATGTAAATAAATATATTCGTGCATTGTGTCTCAAATATTTTGGTATATTATTTTGTTTAAATCCAATACATTTTTTATATCATGTAAAAACCAGTGGTCTTCAACCTTTTTCGACCTGAGACTCACTTTTCTTACTAATCATTTTTCGCGACCCATATAAATTTCGTTAGCCATGAAAACCAAATAAAAAAATTAAAATTGTTTAATGTATGCCATTTTAGAAATGCTTTTCTAATTGAATAAATCAAAATTTATATTTTTTAGGTACTTAGGAAATATTTAATTTTTAATATAAGTAATGATACAAAAAAAAAATGCATGTTATGATACCGAAAAATGTATATGTTTTAATACACAAAAGAAATGAGTGCGATATTTGTCCTGGACTGTTTTCACACGAAATACCTCTATCTCAGCTCAATTTAACACAATGCAGTTTATAGATATATGAAATGTAAATGAGATTTATAAATTAAGTCGGGCTATCACTTCATTTGATTGTTCATTCTTTTTTTTTCTTTTATTTGAAAATTGAGGCTTCAACAGCAAATATTAACTATTTGATGTGTTAGGTGTTAGATTTAAAATTACAATATTTCATATGAAATATTATAAAGGTGAAGTTAGATGTAAATTAAGATTTACTAATATAATATTTGTGATACTTAATAATGTGACAATTTTCAGAGTTTGTTTTTCGCTAAATACTTTTACTATGTTGGATGTTCAGGTCGGTGCGTATTGAGGTAAATTGTGTACACTCCTCCACTATGTGTTCGACAGTTAATGATTAGTGGTAGGTGTTGCATATTGGTTTGAAGATTTTTTCTAATTAAGTATGAGTGTTTGAGAAAAAAGTGTTCATTCTAATCTTCTACAAATTTAAAATAGTACGGTTTTGGATTTATTCGAAAACATTTTTATGCAATATCATATGACGTAAATTATATAATATATATAATTGTAAATTTTTTAAATTTTAAACAGAAAACTCATTGTGACCCAAAATTTGGTCACGACCCACCAGTTGAAGACCACTGATGTAAGCAAATCTAATAATTTTATTTAATTTTATACTAATTCATGAATTATTTATATCGATGTATTCTAAATGAAGATATATAATAATAAGTAATATTAGATAGTCTAAATTTATACATAATCACAGTGCAATTCGTATATAATTGAAGTACTACAAATATGTTAACGTTTTTTTATTTTTTTTTATTGTTATTATAAAATGACATTTTTTACAGTGTTCGAACAAATTAACGGCAAATTAATGAGAGAAAAAATTACCTAGATAATTTGAGCCGTCGAATATCGGGAATAATTATAATTTTTTGTAGTTTGGTTTGCTTAGCTATTTCTATAAAAAAAAAAATTTACTGTGATAGAAAAACATTTGAATTTTTTTGTATACATATACTATATAGGTATTTGTATTTATAAAAAAGTTAGCACGTTATTCATACTTGTTTTAATTCTTAACTTGGCTAGATAAATAGCTAAATAAAAAATATAATTACTCAACAATTCTATACTGTTTTTATTTTTATTAATTAATATTTGTATGATTCTTTTTTGACAGCTCTTTATTTCGCTTCAGAAATTTTTGAAATATTTAATTTATCTTTAAGAACATACTACTTAATTGAAACACTAATTTCTAATACATGTGTGTTGAAATATACACTATCTCATCGATGTTGATTCGAAACCGTGTAAATGTTGATATAACTACCGTTAAAAATTGATATTGTTTATTGTGTTGTAATTCAAAAATAATTTAGATTACTTTTATAAACTATTATTTTTCAATACCTTTATCAAATAAAAACTATAAAAAAAAAAAAAAAAATCAACAGTGATTTTACAATACTTAAGGTACGACATTTTTTTTAATATTTATTCTTTGAATTTCTTTTATACTATTAAGCATATTTTATAATGTTAACTAAATTATTTATATTTAATATAGGTTATTAATTTCTTACTTTATATTATTGGGTATTGGTACAACAATGAAAAGAAAATATTAAGTTGATATATCCTTTTGAATACAATAATGAAAATAAGAGATTAGGGTAATGCATATTTTTGCATATAGTCGTTGATTCTGGGGTACGGGGTAAAGTATTTTTTTAAATACATGATATTTTATACTAAAATAACTAAACAAGTAGATAAGTGTTTGACTTAAATCAGCTTAAAAATAAATATAAATATCCGAACAAATTTTAATAGTTACTTTGTATTCGTATATTTACTGCTATAAAATCATTGATTGATGCCTGAAAATTGGTCGTAAATATAAATTAATGTGAAAGTTAACAGCATAGTTACTGATAAAACATAAAAGATGTTTAAAAGACACGAAAAGTATATATATAAATATAAGTGTGTCCATTATAAAATATTATTTAGGCACATAAAGAAGTTAATTTAAGATTCTATTTCAATTAGTTAATTGTTATTACTAATAACTAAAGGTTTGGAATTTTATAGCAATTAAAATTGAATAAATATGCGCTATAATATTACCTTAAAAATTGCTAAATAAGCTTTAAAAATATGCAAAAAAAAAAAAGGAAATTTATTATTTAATAATTTTGAACAAGCGCACGAGATGAAAGTGAACTGTCTGACTGTATAAAATGAATTCTACACTCGTTCGCTGATAATCGGTTATCAGTAGATTTAGTATAAATCTAAAAAAAAATCCAACAAAATCAGCAGATAACAAAAATTAGAACCAAATAACTAAAACGAAATTATCGTAATATTATAATATACCTACCTATATATCAGTGTTTCCCAACTTCTTTTATCCGCGGAACCCCAATATTTTTTCTATAATTTTAATACACACATATGTTTTGTACACTTAAATGAGTGGATTATCGGATACTTCTGGCACAAGAGTGTCATTAATATAAAAAAAACAATATGGCTTTAATATTTTATTTTGTTTATTACTATTACAATATTATATATGTAATATGAAAGCTTAAAATGTAATATTTGTTTCTTATTACCTCTAAGATAGATTCAATGAGAAGATTGGAATATTTCCATAGCTTTTTTCATAACTGTTTTTAAATTTGGAGTTATTCCTGAAAGTTGGATTCGTAAGTCCGGAGCCGCGTTCAGTTGATTTCAAAACATATTCTTAGTCTTTCTTTGTATACGCCGAATAGCTACAAACTCGCTCATCACATCGGGAAATGTATCAATTCCAGCTTTATGTTGAGTTCTATGTTCAAATCATAGTCCAAATCAAAATATTGCTAATTAATTTATGTTTTCCCAAATTTCTCACAGAACCCTTCAAGCAAGCTCACGGAACACCAGTTGGGACACTACTATATATTATCGCTGTAATTGTACAGTGTTGCATCAGAGTAATCGGTTATTTACTTAATCAATACATTTATAATTTCAATGAAAGTTTAATTTAAAATTTTGAATCTTAAAAATTTGATCAACAAAAATCAAAAAAATACGTTTACCAAAATACAATTTCATAAAATATGTCCGATTTTGATTAAAACACAGGTAAATGCAAAAAAAGCTCAAAAAATCCAAAAAAGCACCAAAAACTAAAAAATGTAAAATATGCAAAAAAAAGCAAAATAAAATTGTTTATTTGAGTTCTCTGTATCATGAAACACATTTTTAACTTACTCTGCTA